TGGCATCTAAACGCAACAAAATTTTTGGCATCTAAACGCAATAAAAATTTTCTTTGCATCTAAATGCAATAACGTGTCTAAATGTAATAACATTTTTTTGCATCTAAATGCAACATTATTTGTTGCATCTATATGCAATAACATTAATTTTATGCAATATCATAAATGCAGTAACATTATTTGTTGCATCTAAAATTTTCTGAAATTTTTATTTTTATTTTCTGATGTAAAAATATTGACAATATAACCAATAACATCTTGTTAGGTTAGAACACTTGTCCTATATACGCTCAAAAGTTTGTTAAATGAGTTGCGAGTGCATTAAAAGAGACATTTATTAACATGATGGGTAAGTGATGCAACAAACCAAAGCCTGTCCATAAGGCAAAATCACGCCTACGACAGTTAAAACCACATTTCGTTCTCTCGTTTGATGCTCCACCAAAACACATTGACGGCAGCTGCCGTAGCATGTTTTATAAAAGACCAGCGAGCCTGTTTGAGCCATCAGTGTCAGAGAGAATTAGAGCGGTGAGATAGTGTTAACTCCCTGCTGAAGTGGGCGAAGATGAATGAAGAGACAGAGGGGGAGATGAAGTCTCTCACACCTCCAGTGTGTTGGTTGTCTGCAGGTGCTTCTCTGCCAGAACGACTGAGTCACGTAAAGGAGCAACAGGAGACAGCACAGACGGACAACTTGTAGGAAAATGAATGGAAGAAACAGCATACGTTCTCAAACTAAGAACTAAGACTTGTAAGCATGTACTATGTTTATTTGTGGGCATTAAAAGTCATTTAAGTCATCATTTGGCTCTTAAATCAGTGGAAATGCAGTTCGGGCCTACTACAAAACAAAAGCCTGGGACAAAATTTTTGCTTCGACCCCTGATGAGGCGCAGCTCAGATCAGCCGGAAGCTTCACCGAACAGAACAGCAGAGGAAAAGCCTCTTACACTCACATACCTAATAAGGAAAAGCTTTAAAAGCCCAATCCTCAGACTGTAATACAAACCCCCGCCGCAGCGGAAAAAAGCAAAAAGACTGGCTTTATCGGCGTTAAGCCGCCCGTTTTGCGCACAGCCATCTTCAGGAGAGATTATGACCATTTATGTAAAATCCTTATTCGCGTCAGCCATCAGGATCTACTGAGTGCTCCTGGGTTTTGCATTTTGCAGGAAATGAGACAAGACAAGCCCTCTTTTACGCACCTATGCATACCATTGTGTAATTTAGTCACTGATGGAACGACTACAGCCCATGCACAGTATTTACACACAATTTCTCTTCCGCATCAACGTTTACAGTAGGTGTGGCGACCATTTCACATTCAGTGGCAGCTAGAAATGAGAATTATTTTAAAAAAAATAACACCGCACGCTAAACTGACTGTGAAGGGTACGTCCTAATTGGGCAAAGCGTCTAGAGTCTTCAGCCAAACGCACGAAGCAAAGTGCCAAACAGGAGGAGGAATGGCACAACTTGACAGATGACTAAATGCACCAGGGCACTTATTAAAGTTTCACTGATAAAACACAACACTTGTATGTGATCAAATATTAAACCCATTCCCATCTATTCTGCAGCATCACTGGTGGCACAACGCATCACTTCCTGGTAATATGCTTCCTCGTTGTGCTGACTGAATGTTCTGGATTCAAAATGCATGAACAAACTGACCCTATTTACACATTTCTAGTCTTGCATGTTACTATGAGAAAAAATGTTTCTAATCATTCATCAAAATGTGATTTGTTCCGCTCCTAAAACAACTTTTCTGTTCTGATGACATCACCAATCCCTCTCACTTTACAGCCCCGCCCCCTCTATCCACCTGCCATATAAACCAGTAGTTCAAATCCAATCAAAACACATTATTTTCCTCAATTAATATAATTTTTCATTACATTTCAGATGTAAATTAATTCTTGCCACACATGATCATGATTGGTCAATCTATTTAGAATGGTAAATTAATGAAGTAGCCGTTCACCATTTGCAGAAGCTCGGCAAACATGGCAACAAGTTTTTTTGCAGGCCGACTCTGTGATACTGAGCAGACCGTAATAAATATGCATGTTTAACTTTTCAGCAGCCTGGCGGAGTGAAAATGTGTCAAGCATGTATAAATCTACAATCGAGGCTGTGATTGGGACACTTAAAAATGCAAGAGTTCTTTTTTATGTTCCACTGTCTGCTGCTGCACTCCTAGAGCGTCCTGGAGAGAGAGAGGGAGAGAGAGAGAGGACACAAGAACCTCTTTATAAGCCGAACATGATTCACTAGATAACAAAAAAAAATTATATAAGTGCTAGGCCTATATTTCAGGAGAATATGTAGAAGAATAATGTGGCTCTGTTCCAAATCCTAGTGAGCTGCCTACCTAGGCCGCATTTTAAGACATCAGATATGCTTCTGTTGCAAAGCCTGTTCCAAAAGATAGCAGCATGATTATTATGCTGATTGTGCTGCGTAAATATAAGACAACTTTTTTGGCACAGAACTATATTTTGCAACAAGCTCAGTGAAACAGATGACTGATGAAGTAAGAGAAATGAGAAATATTAGGGCTGCACGATAAATCACATGCCTAATAAATATGCTTAAAATAATTATATTACAAAAAAAAATATTTAATTAAAAAAAAATATATATATATATAAATAAAAATATATACTATTTTACCCAACATTTATGGATGCTATATATTTTTTTTGTGCATTTGATTATCATGTAAATCAATTAAAATCACACTGAAATCAAATGTGAGTTCATTTTCCTTTGCTTTTCATGTGAGGAACGCTATTTGAACTAATTCTTAAAACAAAAAAAAGCATTAAATTCAAATATATAAAATAAAAATATATACTATTTTACATAATATTTATGGGTGCTATATATATATTTTTTTTAATGTGTATTTGAGTATCATGGAAATCAATTGTGAGTTGAGTTTTATATATAATATATATATATTATTTTACCGAATATTTGTGGGTGGCTGCATACTCTTTTACGCACCTATGCATACCATTGTGTGATTTAGTCACTGATGGAACGACTACAGCCCATGCACAGTATTTACACACAATTTCTCTTGCGCATCAACGTTTACAGTAGGTGTGGTGACCATTTCACATTCAGTGCCAGCTAGAAATGAGAATTATAAAAAAAAAAATAACACTGCACGCTAAACTGACTGTGAAGGGTACGTCCTAATTGGGCAAAGCGTCTACAGTCTTCAGCCAAACGCACGAAGCAAAGTGCCAAACAGGAGGAGGAATGGCACAACTTGACAGATGACTAAATGCACCAGGGCACTTATTAAAGTTTCACTGATAAAACACAACACTTGTATGTGATCAAATATTAAACCCATTCCCATCTATTCTGCAGCATCACTGGTGGCACAACGCATCACTTCCTGGTAATATGCTTCCTCGTTGTGCTGACTGAATGTTCTGGATTCATTGAGTATCATGGAAATCAATTGTGAGTTGAGTTTTATATATAATATATATATATTATTTTACCGAATATTTGTGGGTGGCTGCATATATTTTTGTGTATTTGAGTATCATGGAAATCCTGTGCATTTCATTTGAGGAATGCTTCTTACGGTCTATACAGAGCGCTCTGAATCAATCATTTATAAGGTGTCATTACAGTTAGGATGCTGCCTATGTAGACAGTAAACCCCAAGGCAGCTCACTAGATTTTGGAACAGTGTTCCTGTTTTTGTCTTTGGCAAATTCAAAGCTTCCATTTTTAGACGCTTTGCATAAAAAAGCCGAACAAGACACTTTTTTTTATCTAAGATGCTTCGCATTTTAGGCCCTGCTGGCTTGTGTTTGTTTGTTTGTTTGTTTGTTTTACTGATGGTGTGGTTGGGTTTCATGGGACTTATTGATGTCTTATCTGAATTGGAGATGGATATAAATCGCTCCTATGAAAGAGAGGACACCTTTGATCATTTCTTCAGAGACTGGCCTTAATTGTGAGCCGAGGATTGATCTGTTCAGAGGAGGATTGACCTTAAGACTCTGAAGGAGCAGTAAGGGTGGTAGTGACCCTCCTCCATGGACAGGTGGAAAACGGAGGAGGGGGAGGTCAAATTAGGGGTCTCTGAGAAGAGAGGAACAGGCAAGTTTCCTCAAGTGACCACATGAAACCATTGTTTCAGCATGAAACTAGTGTTGTCAATACGGCTCGATCCTTACATTGATCTGGAATGAATGACATGATCAATGCATCCAAAAAAAAGAGCAAGATTTAGATGTTTTCAACAGCTCTAGGACAGTTTTAAGGTAGATAAAACATGAGGAGCACCATTGCACACGCAAACTTATCAATGCAAGTAAGATGACTTTAGTTGATACAGACGCACCAGAGATTATTCTGAAATTGAAAACCATTCTGTAGTGCCGAAATGACGTTTAATATGTCAAAGCATGTTGTTTATGACCCTTACATGTGGAAATAGGTCTCTCTACCACAGATGAAGTCTAATTCATTACGATACAGCTATGCATCACTCTATTCGTGTTATATTTAAATGCCAATTAAGCAATTCAATACAAGAGCCTGTCTGATTGCCCAAGGGTTTCATGTGAAAGAGGAAAACAGAGTTGATTCCTGACAGCAAATCATTAGCAGGTCAAACGACAATATAAAGATATCATGCATATGAAACGTTTTTCACATGAAGCAATTCATTCACCAACACTAGCCCTAATGCCATTGCTGTTCTCATGATAATAAACGAAATCTCCTTTCACAGGGACATCCTAGCAAGATGTCTATTATTATTATTATTATTATTGAGTATATTATTATTTAGGTGGGTGGGTGTTGGTTTGCACAACAAATGAGGTTTGCATTGTTCAGTAACGCACACAAACAAACCATGAGACATGTTCCACCGCTCCATATGGTGGAGAAATACACGCAGTGTCGCACACGAACGCGCAGGTTTGAATTAATTAATTAAACCGCATATTTACCTGTACGAGATCTGTTTCCTGAACGCCAGACCTTTGAGTTTCTCCTCCAGCGAGTCTTCCATGTCGGCGAAGCTGCTCAGACTGTCGCTGCCGGCCTGCGCCGCGTCTCTCCCGCAGCCGCGTCTCTGCTCGTCCGCTGAACCCCCACCGGCGGCTCCTCTGCTGCTGCGCTCCGCCTGAGACGCGCGTATGTTGGCCAGGGGGTCCATCACGCTCCGGTCGGCACTGAGTGGACCCCCTTCTCTCCTCCGGTGCTTAAAAGTCCTTCCAAAGCTGTCCTCCGGTGTCCCTCATGGGATGAATAATATCTATCTATCTATCTATCTATCTATATCTATTGATTCACGATTCACTCACGGAACTATCCAGCGGAACTACAACAACAGCTGCATCCATCCGCGAGGACATTCCGGGATTTGCCTCCTCATCCTCCACGCGCAGCAGCATCGGGCAACAAAAGTAGGGCAGAGGGTCTCCGACCGGACGCTCTCTCGTGTAAATGCGTGGTGGTCTCTGACGTGTCCACCGTGACCGTGACGGAAGAGTCCCCGCTGAGAGAGCGCGAGCGAGACGCGACGCAGGAAAGGTCAAGCCGTGTTTACGCGAGCGTTTAAACCGGCCCTGATTGCGATTACAAACCCTTTGTTCGGCCAGGAACCTCCTGAGACACAGCGAAAAAATAAATGAATAAATAAAACATTTTTTTAAATAATAAACCTAGATCCTTTAGATTTACGACAGCTTGTATTTTTCATTATTATACGATATTATAACCAGAGAATGTAGGGTTTATTAATATTATCATGTTGGCCACGCCCCCTAACTTTTGTTACGACAGAAAAGCTGCTATTATAATATTATTATTATTTGGCCACACCCCCAGTATTTGATTTGACAGAAAAGCACTGGATGTTAATGTTAATATAATATGATCACATTAAATCATAAATTTGATATTTCAGCTCCTTTCTTTATGGTTTCAAGAAAGAAATCGTTTTTTATTTATTTGTTCTCCCTGGTTCTATTGTCCTCAAGTGTTAACTGATATGTTTATTCTAATTTATTCTAAAATAAATATATATATAGATTTAATCTGTTATTTTTTCCCCCATGGCCATGAGCTTTCATCTGTATTTTTAAATAAATTAATAATAAAAATGATGATATGCACTTAATGTCCATATTGATATTGATAATGGTATTTTTCGCTTGATAGAGAAATATTTTGGTGAGCAAAAAATTTACTTTCACTTTACAAAAAAATCAATTGCTTCTTAATTAAAACATGTTCAGTAAAGCTTTCAGGTTAGGATGTAAAAATCTGCTCGTGTTTCCAGTACTGGTCAATTCTTTCATGTAAAAAAATTAAATAAAAAATACACATTACAACTTAACTGAAAAAAGATTATAAAAAAATTAGGAAAATAATTAAAAATGGCACATCGAATCTTTTATCAAATTAGAACAAATGCATTTACCAAAAATATCCTAGAAATATTGCCATAATTGAAGAATCACCTCCATATGTCCCCAACAGCACATTTATACAACAGTTAACATATAATTTTTCCAAGAAGTCATGAGTCTAGAGGCTACATGCATTTTTCTTCTAACACAATTTGGCTAATGTGATTTAAGGTATGAAGTGCATCATCTGAGCTCTCCGATGTGGAGAAACACCTTTCTTTTGCATAAAACCTTGAGACAGGAAAATTATAATGCAGATCCAATCGTAATGAAAATAATTAATAGTCAAGCAACTAGAGTAGTCACATGATGACATAAAAACACCACTCAACATCCTAGTAAGACAACAAACATAAATCCGGCTAATTTAATACTTTAATATAGAGAAAGCTAACATGCATAAAAGAGCAAAATGACGGCTCAGACGCATGATTTATAATGCTTTTACTAAGGAAAATATTTATTTGCTCGCAGAAAACAGGACAAAAACAAGGCAGAGTGATTTCAGGAAGATCGTTTTAAGAGCCTGAAATTGAATTGTGATGCAGTGAAAGTGTAATGTAATTAAGATGCTATGCCAAATACATAAGAAATGCACATCATTTCCGACACAGATGTTGCGTGACAAACGTTTGCATCTGAATGCATCGAGTCAGGACAAAACCATCGCCTTCAAAATGCTCTTGATTCCACGATAAAAGGATGGCAGACATACTAAAAATAATAAATAACAGATCCATTTCTACAGGGACGCAGTGCAAGCGAGTCCACAGCACGCCTGAATGCAGATCGCTCGGGACTCAGGTCGTCACAGTCGTTCATATCAGAGCAAGAGAACGCTAGACTTGTCAGCGAGCGTCTTTTACTCCCAGAAGAGCACAGACGGGGGTTGGATGGTGGCCAGATGAGGACAAAAAGGGCCATCTGTCCTTAATAAAGAGGGTAACGTCATATGAGGGACTTCAGGGAAGGAGAGAATCCGTCCTTTTCATGTCAAGTCCATACTGTCCCGCTTTTATCACCCTCAACGACAAACATCTCCATCGATATCAATCACATCAATTCATATCTCTCCCAACACACTTACAATAAAGGATACTGCAAATATTTACATATTCAGACAAATGCTTTGGAAATTTGCCATCTTCAAACTGTAAACAGAGCGTTTAGCCTATCATTTTAATACAGTCTGAATCTTTGCACTATTTTTATGAATCTTTGGAAAAGGCATTTTGATTGGCATGCTACGTGATGCCATTATATGCGAATATGAAAACAGATGCAAATTGAATATATTACAACACATTCTCAGTAGCATGGGGCATATAGGCAAAAAAATAAAAAAATAAAAGAAAGAATATTAAAACAAATTGAAAGCATATATAAAAAAAAAAATTAGTGTACATGAGTATCAAAATTTGATATACTGCTGGAATGGAATAAAAATACATTTTTGAGTTTTTTTGTGTTTATTAAAAAAAAAAAAAAAAAAAAAGGACATCGAAGTAAAACAGTACTATAAATATGAAGCCTATCGCCCCAACTGCAGGGGAGAGAAGGAAGGGATCTCAGGACGTCTCTATGACTTTAGCCGTCTCGTTTGACCACTTATCTGACCTGCGGAAACAAAACCGAATGTTCAACATCCACGTGTCATCAAATCATCGAACTGAAGGCAGCCACAGAAGGAAGGTCATTACCTGTGTGAGTGCAGGTCTATGAGAATGGCCTTCTGTGCTCGTGTTTCATTGGTGTTTAGTATAAGTGGGCGGGGCTCTGCTTCACGAAGCTCCGCCTGCTCCTGTTTGTGCTGTTGTTCTAAACGCCAAGCCACCATTACATCGGCCTGATGGTCCCATTCAGGATATTCCCCGCCTAGCCCGACGGGATGAGGCTCGTCCAGACCCCCGTGCTCCGGAATGGACAACAGGTTCCGGGACTTCACTGTGGAAATGAGCAAACATCACACTGAAGTCTTTTTCTCATTGCTTTTTATATATATACCTGTATATATGCAATATTTATAAGCAGAGCTGACAGTATCTGTTCCTTGTTTGTGTTTTGTTTGTTGTGATTTATTTGTGTGTTGGTGTTTTAAAAATCAAAAAAGAAAATCATAAAAATAAAATATATTTTTAACAAATTGTATTTATTTATATAATTATTTATTCATTTTATTTCTCATTATTTTTCATAATAATTTTTATACTTTTAATCATATTTAATACTTATTATAAATTATATCCAAAAAGGCACTGAAGTCTCTCATTGCTTTTTTATTTACCAGATGCAAATGGTGAAGTGTCTCAGATCACATTTATATCGGGTATACACAGGGTCCACTAGATAAGTTATTTAAAATATAAATGTTATTTAATATATTTATTTATTCTCTCTCTCCCTCTCAATAAACATATATATATATATATATATATATATATGTGTGATTTATTTAATAAAATTAATTTATATACTATATATATATATATATATATATATATACCTGTATATATGCAATATTTATAAGCAGAGCTGACAGTATCTGTTCCTTGTTTGTGTTTTTTTTGTTGTGATTTATTTGTGTGTTGGTGTTTTAAAAATCAAAAAAGAAAATCATAAAAATAAAATATATTTTTAACAAATTGTATTTATTTATATAATTATTTATTCATTTTATTTCTCATTATTTTTCATAATAATTTTTATACTTTTAATCATATTTAATACTTATTATAAATTATATCCAAAAAGGCCAACAGGTTCTGGAAATGAACAAACATTACATTGGCAGCTTTTAGTTATTTTTTCATTGCCATTAAAAGCAGATGCCTCTGCTGAGCATTTGTGACTGTATCACCTGATATGGATATTAATATCAGGTGTAAACAGGGCCTACTGTACTGCTGAAATCCAAAGAGAGCAGCTCTTTTATTAGTACAGTAGTGTTTTGTTAAAGCGGTGCATTAACTGAATGACGCGCGTGGGAGAAACGTGTTGCGGGCAGATCAGAGATCAGCGATGATTAACCAATCGCTCTGCTTTTAAAGGCATGATAATTACTGGCCCACTCCAGCACTGATAATGACTCTCAGCAGCTCAAGAGTGGGGCGCAGACCACTAATATGGATCCAAATCCAGCCATTCCACCATTCATTAGTCAACAAGAGAGACAGAGAATAATGAGCAAATTACAGCAGAGACTGCAATAGACACGAGCGGGGTGTGTGTGTATTAGGGCTGGATCGATATGAAAACGTTCCGTACGACAGCAGCTCTAGTACTTCTGCATTAATACTAAATCCATACTTTAGTCAACAAATACATAGCCTCACACAACTGATGACTGATGACACAACTTTAATATTGAGCCTGGAGGCAAACTAACACAAACAGATGAAGACAGACTGTTGAATATGTGTAATAGATTAGTATATCATACAACAGGAACATTTACTAAATCAATAACTGGAATATATATGTAACTAATATAATACCTGTAAAAAATATTACAGGTAAAACTAATAATTATTTACTTATATTATACACACACAAAAAAATCTGACATATACAAACAAATGGCACGTTTAAAGATGAATATTTATTTAAATAGATAATTTAATATAATTAATTATATATTATATATTTATTTAATTATATTATGAATATAACATACATATATATATATATATATATATATACATACACACACACTATAAATCATAAATAGATAAATATTAAATAAATTATTAAATTACTAATATTTTTATGTAATTATAATAACTATATTATAATTATAAAATTGTGTATAGTGATCATATATACACAATTATTTGGATATTTATTGCATTTTAAAAATTAAATATTTACACACACACACACACATATACTATGTTTATATAATTACATAGCAAATACACATCTAATTAGATATATCATATATTGATCTTTTTTTTTAGATATTAAAATCAAATAAATAAAAATTTCCCAGCTTTATATGAAGAGACGTTATTATGACTCGATGTAAACCTATAAACAAATGGTCATTAAGTGATGAAGAGTAAAGTTTTGTGTCTCAGTATATTTTCAGTACCGTTAATGCATACCTGTGGTGGTGTACGAGTCCTGTATGGAGATCTCTCTGCTCAGGTCTGTTTTGGTGA